TTCAAATACCTTTAATGTTTAGGAGCGCTTGATTTGAATTCCTTTAGCAGATGCATTTCTGTAATGAAAGAGATGATATATGGAGAAGTATGAAAAAAAGACATGAGCACAAGAGATGTCAGGGTGACTGTGGAAGCTAATGGAAGAATGCCATCTGTGAAGGGGAGAACGCAAATTTAGGGTTACATGTGAAGATTTTTTATAGTAGGAAAGCATTCTTAGTTTTGAAACATTCAAACAAGGTACCACTCCAAGCAGCTCTTAGGACTTCTGGGACCAAAGTGATCCTTCAGTGGATTCATTACTCTAGCTTGAGCTTGGCTCAAGGCATTATTTAGCGGGAGTACCACATGGTTGTTCTGGACCTATGGATAGCAAATTCTTTAAAATATTCTTACTAATGTAAAAGTGAACTGAGCAATTTAACCACATGGCCATTAACCTATAAGAAATAGCTTCCTAACATCATCTTGTCTGATACTAGCTATCCCAAGTTACACACAAGACTAACGCCAAGATGTATTTGTCACGTTAACATTTATTTTTGTGTTTAGTAAGCATATGTTTGATTCTGTAATGCTGAGATTCTACTACTCTGTTTTTCTATTTCAGGTGTCTTCCCTGAAAGTTTAACAGTTGCCAAACTTAAAAATTTGCTAAACTTAAGGTAATCATGGCTCTGTTCAACACCTCAGTTTGACTCTTCATTTCTCAATGAGTTTTCATTATGATTTTTTGGTGAGTTCTCATACAAGAAATTTTAGCGTCAAGTTTTAGGCAAAAGAATTTTAGGATGAAGTTACTTTTTCTTACTCAAGATTTCACAATACTATCTTGTGAATCCTGCACCACTACACACTGTGACTGGCAAAACATTAATTTTTTGAGTCGTTTTCTTCTTTTGCAGCACTGTAGAAGCTTCAGTTGAAAGCGAGTCTTTAGGCAGCTTAATGATAGCAATGTGCAGGTTTAAAAAAAATACATCTGTCACAAGCCACTAGATATCAAAATACAATAAAATACTTTGGTGTTCTTTGCATTGCAAATTGGTACATAATTTATAGAAAACAGGTTTCTGTAGGGAGTGAGTTCTACCATCAGCTAAAAGAACACTATTTGATGTGCAGATATACTGCCATAGTGCTAGTCATTTTAACGTAATCCATTATTTATACCTGTAAAAATAGTGATTGCAGGACACAATTTCTAAGCTTTCTTTTTGAGTGCCTCTTTCACAGTGTGACAAAATTTGTCTGTCAATACCTCTTTCTGTAAGAGAAAGCTGAACATACAAATTTTCTGGATGTAGTCTAAAACTATATTTCAGACCAGTCATGAAGGAATCGTTAATTCTTGAGGAGCATTTCTTCTAAACAGGTAGTTCTTGTGTACAAGCTGGTTCCCTCTCTAGTCTGACCAAATGCAGAGGATCATAGAGTGTAATTAAGAACATTGATTGTCTCTGTATGGGTATACATATGTGTATGTGTATGCATGTACATATACACACACATCTATGTACAGAATGATCTTTCTGAGGAGAATAATTGCAACTGAAGTCTTTTAGAGCTGAAAATACATTCTACAGTATTACCCCAAAAGCTGCCTGCTATGGTGAAAAACCTGCTATAATGCTGTTAGGAAATGAATAAAAATGGAGAATGCAGGACACAAAGGAAGCAACATCTAGAGGTTAAAAATATTTGTCAAACTCATTTGTAATCACATCTGAGAATATTTGTATGAGAAGACATCATGTACTATGATCTCAAGAAATAATTCTTTGAATCACAGAGGCATTATGAAAACTCTGTTTTCCTCATCTCAGCCTTACAGGAAACACAGGTTTTGCACAATGCTTTTAGAAACCTTGAAAATAACATTTTAGACATGAGTTTCAGATCAGATTGGGGTGTATATGACAATACACACAGCTATGTAAAATAAGGAAGACAACCTAATCAAGTACCAGCCAGTCTCTGATAAGTCTGTGGATATATAGGAAGCAAGTATCAGCTTTGAAAAGAATCTTCATAAAACTTTCAAAACTTGTCTTATTAACACTGTACGTGAGATAAGACACCTCCATGAAAATGTTAAGATGACAAATATATTAAGGCAATAAGATACAACTACACATTATCTATTGAGATATTATTCTAGAATAAGTTCAACAAATAACCTAGAGCTAACCTGTTTTCAGAAAAGTTTAGATTCTGAATACAAATGGGTCATTAAGTTCAACAAAGTAAATTGCAAGGTCCTACACCTGGGTAGGGGCAATCAATTTTTATGTTGAGGACACCAGAACTGTACACAATACTCCAGGTGAGGTCTCACAAGAGCAGAGTAGAGAGGCAAGATCACCTCCTTCAACCTGCTGGTCACGCTCCTTTTGATGCAGCCCAGGATACAGTTGGCTTTCTGGGCTGCGAGCGCACACTGAAGCCGGCTCATGTTCATTTTCTCATCGACCAACACCCCCAAGTCCTTCTCCGCAGGGCTGCTCTGAATCTCTTCTCTGCCCAACCTGCAGCTGTGCCTGGGATTGCTCCCACCCAGGTGTAGGACCTTGCACTTGTCATGGTTAAACTTCATGAGGTTGGCATCAGCCCACCTCACAAGCGTGTCAAGGTCCCTCTGGATGGCATTCCTTCCCTCCAGCGTATCAACCAAACCACACAGCTTGGTGTCATCGGCAAACTTGCTGAGGGCGCACTCAATCCCACTGTCCATGTCAGCGATGAAGATGTTGAACAAGACTGGTCCCAACACCGATCCCTGAGGGGTGCCACTCATTACTGGTCTCCAGCCGGACATTGAGCCATTGACCACAGCTCTTTACTTGCGAAAGACTGGCGCTACTGATCAACTTCCAAAAATTTTTTGAACATTAACAGCTGTCAAAGTATAAACAGTTAATTGCCTTTCGTAGTTATAACCTTGTCTTCATTCTTCCAAAGTAATACATTCAGAAAATATCCGCCTCTTCAAGCAACCAGCCTTATTTCAGTGGGGGATATTGGATCTGAGTCTATCTAGTACAATTTCAAGACAGTGAAACTGCAACTGATAGAAACTTCAACATGATTAGAACGATCTGTTATCCCCACATATAAACTTCTCTGGTTTTTATTTTTTTCCCTGTGTAGTAGACCTCCTTTTATTACTTTAATGGCTACATTTAAGGCGGAAAGTGAAATGATTTTTGGGGTAATGTTTTAGTGTCTGTTTCACAATGGTTTTTATTGAGCTGTAAAGCACTGCATGCATAGAAAAAAGAAGGTGCATTTTAGAAATAAAACTATTAAGTAACATTATCTTGCCATGGATCATTCCCACTGGGATAGAGGCACCATTTGAAAAGCATAACTGAATTCAATTAAAATATGATAAATTTTGATCTCCACCTTACCCACACTTTCAGCATTGCATGCTGATCAAAAAGCTAATAAAAGCATGACTGTTTATGTTTAGCAGCTTTCGCCTGATCACATATTGTACAACACGTTCATATTTTTCCCTGGCTACTTACAGTAGGGAATAACTTGAGTATAACAGCCTTCTCATATGTCCTACATGGCGACATATGTGTGGATGGACACATATGTCCCCATACCTAATTACCAATCTGCGGTCCATCAGTAACAATCACTATTACTTGTCATTCCCCAGAAGACACGCTTTTGCATATCATGGCAAGAGCAAGTGGAGTCCAGATGGGAGAATGAAATGACTGTTTATATCTGACACAAAATCACAGAAATGTGTGTCCAAAGTAAAATTCACAGAAACAACTTCATTATATTTTTTTCTGTGGGACAAATCCAGAAACTGCATGTATCTTCTTTTCTGTAAGCAGACACCGACAGAAACATTGGAGATATGCGTAATTATCTTGAAATGACTGTTTCCTGATTCTCTCTGAAGAAAATGGAAACTACTCCAGTTAATTGAGAGTTAAATTAGTATGCATTTCTGAAATACAGGCCCCATATCCATGTCGCAGGTCACTAGATCCCATGATCTGCACACAGGAGATTAACAACATCTTTTGAAGTATATTGGTTTTCCTATCACATATATGAACACTGTTTAATATAGAAAAGTAATACTAAAACCCAGGTACACAGTAGGGAAAGACCATTTCTGCTTTACAGATGGCCAGCTGAGACATGAAGAAACTACGTGATTTTTCCCAGTGTCAGACAAGAAACCTGTGTCAGAATGGAGCAAATTTAGGCCTTCTGAATCTTGGCTGATTTTCTGAGCTGTCAAACTATTTTTCTTTTCTGATATGAATAAACTTCTGGTTGCAAAGTGGATTGGTAAAAGCATCATGGGATTAAAGACAAAAAAAGAGAAGAATCATCTGACACAGTATAATATAACCTGTATAGCAGCTGCCTTCTCCAGAATTATATCCCAAAATCTTATATAAAGTTAAATAACACACTAATTAAAAAAAGAAAAAGAAGCAGAAGAAAAACTAAGTACCTTAGACAAAAAGATGTTTCAACTGAGGCATGAAAATAAATGTAGGTAATAATTATCACTTATGCAATTCTTTTCATCTGCAAAATGCTGTATAAATATTACTTTCAAAACCCTCACAACACCTCAGGAGGTGGGTAAATATTAAGCATAATGTAAAAAGTTATGCCCTCATATGATATAAACCAATTTTCCCTCTGGAAAAAAAAAAGGGTGGAAGGCAAAAAAAGTTTATTTAAAGCACCTGAGCTAGCCACATTCTAAAGAAAAAACCCTATACTGCCATCCAAGAGGGTTGTAATTCTCACAGGCATACATGAGCTAGCTTTAATTAATCTAGCACAGACTCAGCACATGTATGGCAACTAGGGTTCAACAAGGCTACAAAGTCTATTCCAGATTCCAGGCAAATAGTGTAGGACAGTTAGCCTGGATTGCATTCAGCACTAAGTGGTCATTAGCAGGATACAAATTAGCTAATTAAAAGCAGACGTGAGTACCTTGTTCAAAGGGTCCTCATACATCTATAATGTAGCATGAGCAGATCCAAAGCTGAGGCTGAAACTGTAGAGCTGGCTCCGAAGTTTTCTCCAACAGCTCAGAAGCAGCTATGCAGGCACACACAGTGAGGCTATTTCACACATGATGGAGCTGCAGTGGAGATGGAGCTTTTACACCTGCAGAGCCTGCCAAAATAATGTAAAAGGGCAAAAGGGAAGGTGGTAAGTCTAATCAAAGACAAAGTTTTGGGCTGAATAAAACACTTAACTGCGTGGAAAATTCCATTAGATTGATTAGATACTTGCCTTAGGGCCCTCTTAAAACACCTGTTTAAAAAATAATAATAAAAAAAAAGATAGCTTTTGCAATGCGGCTTAAAAATATTGGCAAAGCAGGAAATGGAGCTTATTAGAGCTCAAATTAGATCTGAGATTTATGTGAAGAACATTTGGTCTCTTTAAAAGGCCTGCTTAATCCCTAGATGGCTTTTATTATTTCTATTATTATTATTTATTTATACAGTGGCATGGTATACATGGCACTTTACAGACAAATAAAGAAAAAACATTGGTCCTCCCCCAGAGAGTTTACAATACCTGTTCAGGCAAAGAGTCAAGTACAGGAGTAACTTTTTTTATAGAATAGCCTCCCTGGGAACCAATGAGATTTAAAGAACAACAAAAAAAATCAACTTACTGACATGATTCCGCCTTCCAGATCAGACCCTCTAGTCTCAGACATTCAGTCTTAAGTCACAAGTGTAGAACCCAGTTCACAGGAGTAACTACCTGAGTTTCAGTAATTTCTGTTGAGTGAATCTCAGTGTTTTGTTCCAGGTTATGGATGATAAACATAAGCAAAAGCAATAAAGGGGTGAAGATAAACTGGTTTGTACTGCTAAGTTAGTTTCAGTGAGAGTCTTTCACTAGTATTTGTAATATTTTCTCAATTGGAGGAGTGAAAATAGTCAGTGATTGAGAAACAGCTACAGGAGGCCGTTTAATGCAAAACAGGGAAGCTGCAGTTTTTTTGTTACTTCTTACTGTACACTAGTGTTAACGAGCTGTTTCTTTAGGGATGACTGACCAGATCTCTCCATCTCTACTCTCAGACTTCTGAATTTGAATATTATTATAGTGAATGTATTATATTTCAGGTATAAACTTGAAGTAATATTGTGTGGAAGTGTTCTTTCTTATTTTACTTTTCAAAAGCACTTATGGTTCTGTTAAAAAAACCTATATACTGTTGGTTTCTCTGGAAGATGACAGGATACTATTCTCCTTCTTACCTTCATGATGCCCCTATTTCTGTGAATGGAAAATTGGAGCTACCTCAAGTGACTTCTCTTTTGGAGGGTAGTGATGACTAGTCCAAATGTACAGCCCTATTTGCCTGCATATAAACTTTTAATAACGTTCATTAAACTTTATTAGAATTGTACATGCAGCCAGATCAGGGTTACAAATTAAAACCTCAATCCAGCAAACACTTAAGGAGCTTTATTCATTTGAGCAAAAAAAATTTCTATACTCGCACACTTAAACTGAATCTGAAACCTAAACAAAATCCCTTTTTGTTTAGTCCTCTGATATTAAACTTAGAAACATACAGTCAAGAAAGAAATTACATGTTACTACTGCACAAAGGAGCAAACCACTCCCCAACTTTTTTGAAACTGCATTTTTAAAAATTATCACTATGTATAAAAAAATTTCTGATGCAACAGGGTTGGAAACACCAATGAACAAATGAAATATGACCATATGCATGTAACGATATACAAAAGTCCTGGTCAACAGGGACACTGAAGTCTGAAGAGGCTTTGCAATAGTCTTTATGGGCAAAAGGATCAAACCAACAGAGCCTGATCTGAGGGCCCTGTGAAGCCAGTAAGATTTTCCCCATTGATAAGGTTTGAATCAGATGTACAGTGACAAACAGAACTGTAGGTAAAGATGCAGCCATAAAAGCCATAAAGAATTTTTAAAGACAACAAACATAAGTGTCATAAAGCCAAGGTCAAACTCCCATCAACCAGACAAGTATGTGTGAGTTATACCTTTTAGGCCTAAATACAGTATTCATTGGTATTGATTTACCTTGAAACAAAAGATAAATTAATCAATTTATTTTAAAAATATGGTTCTATTAATTGAGTAATTTCCTTTGACAAATATTTCCTAAACCCATTAGCAGTTATACTATTTTTTTGTTTATATCTGACATGAGACTATGTATCATTATTCATGCATAGTCTGATTCTGATACCTTGTTTACAATTTGTTTTGTATATTTTGTTATGTAAGCAAGAATTAATATACTCAGAAATGGAAGAAATATGCTATATTATCTTTGACTACATTTTTTTTTAATATGGCTGTCGTGGTTTAAACCCAGTCAGGTAACTCGTTCACTCACTCCCAGTGAGTGGTGCCGAGATGACAACAATCGAGGTCCGTGTCCCCCCCCCCCCCCCCCACCGGGGTTCTCCCCTTCCCCACTCCCGGAGGAACGGGGAGGAGGATCGAAAAAAGTGCAACTCCCGCGGGTTGAGACAAGAACAGTCCAGCAAGCAATGTACACAAATCACCACCGCTACTATCAACTACAACAATGATAAGGGAAAATAACAAGGGAAGAGAATACGATACCACCGGCCAAGAAAATGAGTTCCACCCAGAAGCCCGTGTCCTTCCGGGTAACTCCCAGTCACCCCCCACCCCGGCCATGACGTGCTGTGGTATGGAATACCTCGCTGGATAGCCCGGGTCAGGCGCCCCGTCTCTGCTTCCTCCCGGCTTCCCCTCCTCCCTGGCAGAGCATGAGCCTCACAGAGTCCTTGGTCAGGGTAAACATCACTTAACAACAACTGAAAACATCGGCTTCACCAACACTGTTCTCAGGCTGGAAGTCAAAACACAGCACTGCACCAGCTACCACAAAGGAAAAAAAAAACATGACTGCTACTGCTGAGCCCAGGACAATGACACACATCATCTTTAAGTTACGGACAACATTCAAGATAGTCTGAGTTAAACATAAATAAATACACATATGGGCAAGGACAAATATGCTAACTGGAAAATTCTATAGAATACAGGCTTGCATATGGGTACATTAAGCATGTGTACCTATAAAAGCAATGGAAATCATAATCTGACTCCAAATTTTCGAATAAGCATAAAAAATTGTCTAGCTTAGATAATAACAGTCACAGGCTGCTCTCCTACAGCAACTAGGTGACAAAACCTCAGATCTTCCATTTCAGTTTCTGCACATGGGAACACCCCATCACAATTAGTACACTCTTTTCTAAATACTAGCACCCTCCAGTGTGCACACCCAGTAACATACACCTATCCCTTGTTTGGTGAGCTTCCTACTGCAAAGATAACCCACCACGCAGGAATGCAGATTAGATGTGAAGTAGCAGACGTTTTCATACAAACCCAGGTTTGCACAATTCCAGTGATGGAAGTATATAAAGACCTGGCAATTCTGACAGAGTAATTCAGATGAGAAATTGCTGTGAAAATTTGGAGACTTGCCTTCAGATGTATCATTTCTAAGGCAACCAGGTTTCCTGTCCTCACTTTTTTCTTCCATTGCTGCTTCTCTTAGTCATTTTCAACTAGCGTTACATGAGTGAAGTTCTCAGACCACCTGGACTCAATACAACCTACTTGAGTCTTTTCCTTTTGACTATCATACCTTTTTATCATGGTAAGTCACAGAGCCTGAAGCCTTTCATCACGTGTAGGCAGGCATCTCCCATGAAAGTCTTTTTGTTAACTGCGAGGAAAAAAGGACAAAAGCATTTTTTCTTTTTTTTTTTTTTTTGTTCTGATACAAAAGAATGTTTCTATTAAGTAGCTGAATTGAGAGTATGATGACTCAAAAAGGTAAGTACCATGTAACTGATTTATGTTCATTCCTGTGTTTCCTATTGCAATTTAGTTTTGATAATTCTTGTTATTTTGGATTTCGAGTATATGGAATGACAGGAAAAAAATTTAATGTTCAGAATGCTGAGACTCCCTGACTAGTTAATAATCCAGGTGTTTGTTTCTTTTTCTTTTATCCTTAGTCATAATTATATTTCTCTCTCAATAGTTAGCTTGGTTTTTATTTATTTTTATTATGTTTGGGTTTTTTAGAAAATATATGCAATTATTATTGATTTGGGCCTACATATAATAGTATGGTTTTGTGGCATTTTAAGTTCTCATATTCACATCAAGGGAAGATGAAATAGATAAAACATCTCTGAAGGAATTGTCTATGGTAGTAACTAGGTTGTAAAGTCTGACCTTATGAAACGAACCTATGTGGTTCAGTTGAAACATTGAAGGGAAGCAATGGCATCCAGAGGGACCTTGACACGCTTGAGAGGTGGGCCAATTCCAGACTTGTGAAGTTCAACCAAGCCAATTGCAAGGTCCTACACCTGGCTAGGGGCAATCACAGGCACAGCTACAGGTTGAGTGGAGAAGTTCAAAGCAGCCCTGCGGAGGAGGACTTCGAGTTGTTGGTCAATGAGAAAGTGAACATGAGCTGGCTTCACTGTGCGCTTGCAGCCCAGAAAGCCAACCGTATCCTGGGCTGCATTAAAAGGAGCTTGACCAGCAGGTCAAAGGAAGTGATCCTGCCCCTCTACCCTGCTCCCACGAGACCTCAGTTGGAGCACTCTTTGCAGTTCTGATGTCCTTAACATAAGAAGGACATGGAGCTTTTGAAACAAGTCCAAAGAAGGGCCACAAGGATGATCAAGGGGCCATGAGCACCTCCTGTATTAAGACAGGCTGAGAAAGTTGGGGCTGTTGAGCCTGGAGAAGAGAAGGCTGCGTGGAGACCTCATAGCAGCCTCTCAGTATCTGAAGGGGGCCCTATAAGGATGCTGGAGAGGGACTCTTCATCAGGGACTGTGGCAGTAGGACAAGGGCTGATGGGTTTAAACCTAAACAGGGGAAGTTGAGGTTAGATATAAGGAAGGTGTTCTTTACTGTGAGAATGGTGAGGCACTGGAAAAGGTTGCCCAAGGAAGTGGTAAATGTGCCATCCCTGGAAGTGTTCAAGGCCAAGCTGGGCAGAGCCTTGGGTGATATAGTCTAGTGTAAGGCGCCCCTGCCCATGGCAGGGGTGCTGGAACTAGATGATCTTAAGTTGCTTTCCAACCTTAACTATTTTATAATTCTATTATTCTATTTTATTATTCTATGATTCTGTAAGTTATGTAATGAACATTGTAAACTAGACTGTTGGAGCTCTATGGTATTTCAGGGCCTGTCACGCTATGCCTTCTGAATGCTCCTCGGATTATGAAAATGGTCTAACCTGTCTTGAAACTAAAACTAAATTTTATTCCTACTGATCTACTGACAGCATCAGATTCTAAGGGCAGCTGTGACTTAACAGAACCCAGACAATGTTCATCCAGGTACCTCTTTTCCTTTTCAGAATTTCTATTGCAATGTAATGTTTAACCAAGAAACCACTACCGTTAAATTGTTTAATTTGTTTATAATTAAGAGAATATATTTCTCATCTAAATGTTTTATTAATATCACTACAGATATTGCCAGTAGCATCTTACAGTCATATTTTCAATTAAGTCCCACAGATCTTCAAAGTTATTTATGTGCTCAAATTCTAATGAAAGTATTCTGCAAAGCAGCCGCCTAATGTCTTTCAGGATGTAACTTGAAATCTTACTGGACTTTTACAGATAGATTAGTTTTGATGCACAGGGTCTTAAGTAATGTAGCCATTTTTGAAATCTGTGTCTTTGGTCTGCCATATAATTGATCTAGAACAATGATCCAACATGTTGACAACATCTTCCAGCCTAATCTGGCCCTGGAGGTGAGTCTGAGATAGATGTGTCTGTGAAAGCAAATCATCTGTATAGAAATCAATAAAATGATGCAAAAATATAATAAGAAAACACTCACAGGAGGCCTACTAATAGGTTTTGCAACTCTTCCTTTATATTTAGATTTATCAGTAAACAAGGAACCATCACTGTCTATTACCGGGCACATAATCTTCAAGGCTGTACTTTTTGATTATACAATTTTCATGAACATTGCCTCTAATCAAAGTACCTTACCTGCTAATTCATGTCCTGACATCGCATTTCAGAAGAGGTAGCTGGATTTTTGACTGCTTTGCAATATAATGAGTAGAGCTTGGATGCTCATATTGTAACATACTTTCAAATGGAAAATTATCTTACTCTTAACTCCAGAATTATGATCTGTTTCCAGAATATTGAAATCTCAATATTCTCTTTTCACGAGTAAGGTCAATATAATTTTGTTCCCTATTTAGGATCATGTCCTGGGTTTAGCAGTAGCAGTCAATTTTTCTCCTTCTTAGTAGCTGGTGCAGTGCTGTGTTTTGATTTTCAGCCTGGGAACAGTGCTGATAACACCGATGTTTTCAGTTGTTGCTAAGTCATGTTTACCCTGACCAAGGACTTTGTGAGGCTCATGTTCTGCCAGGGAGGAGGGGAAGCCAGGAGGAAGCAGAGACAGGACACCTGAAACAAACTAACCAAAGGGGTATTCCATACCACAGCACGTCGTGCCTGGGGAGGGGTAACTGGCTTCTGGGTTGGACTCGTTTTTCGGCGGGTGTTATTGTATTCTCTTCCCTTGTTATTTTCTGTTATCATTGTTGTCGTTGGTGGTAGCGGTGGTGATTTGTGTTGTACATTGGTTGCTGGACTGTTCTTGTCTCAACCCATGGGAGTTGCACTCTTTCGATCCTCCTCCCCATCCCTCCGGGAGCGGGGAAAAGGAGAGCTGGTGCGGGGGAGGGGGCCTCAATTCCTTCCAGCCCGGCACCACTCACTGGGAGTGAGTGAACAAGCTGTCTGGCTAGGGTTTAAACCATGACACATCATGAGATAATTCAGGTTGAACGGGGCCTCAGGAGGCATGTAGTCCTACCACCTGCTCAAAGTAGGTTCAGCTGTGGTCAGTGAAGAGCACTCAGGATTTATCCAGTTTGATCTTGAAAATCTGTAAGGATGAAGACTGCATAACCTCTCTGGACAACCTATGCCCCTGCTTGGCTTGCCTTAGTGGGAAAAAGGTTTCTCTTCATTTTCATCCTGAACCTTTCTTGTTCCTCCTTGTGCTTGCTGCTTCTCACCCTCCCACCATGCATCACTGTGAAGAGCCTGGCTCCATGCCCTCATGAACCCCCTTGCAGGCACAGGGGACTGCTATGAGGTCCCCCAAAAACTTTACCTTCTCCAGCTGGACAAGTCCCAAAACCTCAGGCACCTGCAGTGGTTCTTCACTGAACTCACAACAAGCTTGCCAATGTCTTTCTGGTTTTTGTTGATATTTACAAATAAACAACAGCAGTTATCACAAAGTAATGGGTAAAATTAAATCCCAGAATCCAGTGATGTCTTCTGCTTGAAAAAATGGGGTTTCGCAGGGCTGAGATGTCACAGGTAGATTCTTTTTTAATGCCTACCTCTGGCACACTCTATTTCTGAGTTTGCTCATTCTTACCTTTGATATTTATAATGTCTCCCCCTCTTCTAGATATTTAATGACTTACATGTTCCCAAGTCACTTGAGAAAAAATGTTGACATAATAAAATTTTTGTGCTTCAAAGTAATAGGAACAATGGAGAGATGGTACTTATTAAAATATGATTACTGACTTGAACTGTATAGAATGGACATACTTATAAGAGAAAATTCTTGTCCTCCCAGGAGCAAAGCTGTATATTCACTTTTGTTTTCAGTTCCAAATAGCAGGAATGTTAAACTGGAAAATGCACTTATTTTCAATTATGGCACTTTTCTGTGCTTCTTACTTTTCCAGTGGTTTAACTTAACTGCAGCCCAGAGAGGCTGGATGAGAGCAGTGAGAGATGACATCATATCTGTCTGAATTAACAAGGTGATAAAGAAGTACTGTAAGTTCAGCTGAATGGATCAAGAAGTAAGTAGAAATATAGTTTCCCATAGCTGCCTAAGACAAATCATGAGAACTCCTGTCTTTGGAAAAAAATCTCCTTTAAACCAAGACTAATTAATTTCACATTCTTGTTTTTTGTACATATTCATACTTTTTATGGTTCCTTAACCTGAATTTTTTTTGACTTTTTAAATTTTAATGTGTTATATGCCTTTATGTTAATAAATAACTGCTAGGGTTGTTTTTTCCACTTTATTTTTCTACTATTCACACCATACCTACTTCTACATATTTACATTTATTACAAATGCTCTGCCTGCTGTACCTACAAATTATAGAATGTTGTCTATATGTTCTACCAGGGTTTTTTAATTTCCCTGAAAAATACTTTCATTCACCACGTACCAATAATTGTAACCAACTCTTATTTTCAGTCAATAGAAAAATGTTCACAACTAAAGCATTATCTTTCATTTCAACATGTACAATGAAGATGTGGTTTTGCTGGTATGTATCATGTTTAGAGCTGAGAAACAAGAGTCTAGAAAACAACTCCCATCCTTGACTTGGTCACCAGGTTCCTTTCTGATCTTGAACACATCAAATAAAACTTAAGCTAAAACTTTGTCTTCACAGTTTCTTTATATTAGATTGAGATGCGCTGTATGAGGGACTGAAGCTGCCCTTCAGGGACTCTTAGTGCCATGATGTTACAATGACAGCCTGACTTGCCTCCTGCCACCCCAGAAGAATTGAAAAAGAAATCTATCCACACAGTGGAAAAGATGGCTAAGAAGTGTGTTTTCTAGGAGCTGGTTTAAAGAGTTAATTGGACTAAGAGCCAGGAT